GGGTCGGTAGAAGCCGTGGTGGTGGCGGCAGCGGCGGCAGAAGGGTAGGAGGAAGTGTAGGGTGCGGTGCCGTTGTTTTGTGAGGAATTACGGGGAAGAACCGAAGCCTGGAAGGGTCTGATGGGCATTTGTGAGGGCGCAGCTTGAAAAAAAAGGACGAAAAAGAAAGAGTGAGGCCTGTGACATATCCCTATAATTGAGGCATATGACGTTTTTCTGACAGCAGTCAAGTACAAGTTTGCGAGCTACGACGTCATCGATGGGGAAGCTCAGATATGGGCTAATGCATTAACCAAGCGTGCCATCTTTCCCCCCTCAAAAAGTTTCACTCTAAGCACATGACTGAAAATAATGCGCCTGAATACAAAGGAAAAAGCCCATTAAAACAACTAAAATGTTGAATACGGACAGCGAAACAACGGCGACGGATTTAGGAAGAAGCCAAACGCTGCTGCTGTTACTGTTGCTTACAGGATGGCAAAAAGATTTCAGAAAGGACAAAATGATATTCTGGAATGCCTCCATAGTAGCGTCCGAAGAAAAATGTAATCATTCCCAGATATAAAAAAATAACTGAAGCTGCACAAAAAGATGAATTCACAAACTACGGCTGTTTTAGCACAAAATTATCAAGTAGGAACTTAGTGTGCCATCTAGGACGTGTCTCAATGGAGGCCGATAACGCCAACAGCTTACTGATTGCATAACACAAGAGCCAGCAGAGGAAGAGGTTGCGAGCTCACGGCATTTGTGAATAGGTGTTACGGTACGGTAGCCATGGTATGAACAGGCTTCGAACTGCACTACAAATGCAACATTTTCAGTGATTTTCGTGCTAATAAGAATGAGCTTTTCTTTGCACAGAAAGGTGAAAGATGGCCTAACACAACATTGGGACGAGTGCATGAACTAAGCTGAATTTCTATTGGTCAGGGCCTTCAAATGGCACGCTTTAAGAGCATGTTAAGATGAGTCCTCTCCTCATATTTGAATATTTTGCTCAATACGATTGACAAGGCTCACATGAAAAAAGACGTTGAATGGAAAAGAACCAGTAGTGATGGCCACCAAACATGCAACCGAGGGTTGGACCACGCCCTTGCAGGACCTTCAATTATATGCTTACTTTAGACATTGGCTCTACTGGTCGTAAAATAAATTTTCCGAGAGTACGCCTTCTCTCGGCTAGGTTATATGGCAACGGAGATAGGCATTAAAATTGACACATTTGAGGATAGCAAGGGTTCTTAGTGTTGTAATGGATGCCCAGGCCGAGATATTGCCGCCCAATGACGTCCTGTGTGAGTCCCCA